TATTTTTATCGGAAGATTAACTACTATCTCTGCTACACTTTTTACAGCCGTAAGTTAATATTTCCATCACCATATATTATTTTTATAATTGTGTTTATTTGATTAAATTTTATAAATATTTTATACAAGTAATTCTACTCATCTTGTTCTTCAATTTCAATTGTAATTACGTTGCCTACACAGAATAATAGTGAATTACATTTACTAAATTTAAGTTACATTTTCAGAATTAGTATTTATGACAGATTGGTGGTCTGGGACAAGAATAATGATGTACATAGATAAAGTAGAGTTTGAGAAATATTATGGGAAAGAGCATGGATATTTATTAATGAATCATACCTATGAAATAGATTGGCTTATTGGGTGGAGTTTTTGTGAACGTCTTGGAACACTTGGTGTAAGTACAATCAGTTAGTTATTTTTTTATATCTGCTGAATAATACATTTACTTTGATAATAATTAGTTTCACTAATTATAAAATATATGCACATTTCAGAATTGCAAAGCATATGCCAAGAAGTCGATACAGTATATCCCAACATTAGGTTGGGCATGGAAATTTGCAGAAAGTATATTTCTAGATAGAAGTTGGGATAAAGATAAACGAATAATTGGTTCTCAAATTGAAGAACTTGGAAATTACCCTGATGTTATATGGGTAATATTTTCTGTCGTTTTAAGCTGATTAAGTGATTTCAAATAATTTACTTTTAAATCATAATTTATTTAAATTTTATTTGCAGTTACTTTTAAATGCCGAAGGAACACGTTTTACGGCAAAGAAATTAGAAGCAAGTCAGAAGTTTGCTCGAGAAAAGGGTCTTCCAGTATTAAAATACCATTTAACTCCACGAACAAAGGGTTTCACAGCAAGTATACAACACATGCGTGGTAAAATTCCCGCAATTTATAATGTACAAATAAATTTTAAAGCCGACGATCCAGTAAAGCCAACGATTAAAAATTTATTATTGGGCAAATCAGTTGTTGCTCATTTGTACATACAAAGGATTCCTTTGGAGGATGTGCCAGAAACTGATGAAGCTGCAGCTGAATGGCTTCACAAACTTTACCAAACAAAGGTACAATTTCTTATTGTCTTCTTTAGCCACTTTTAATATATGAAATGTATAAATTTAAAATAATATATCTGTTTCTTTTTTCTTCAGGATCGTATGGCAGAAAGTTTCATAAATACTGGTGACTTCTTTGCCACAAGTGGCGTTCCCAGAACAGATTGTTTTGAAGTGAATAGGAGACCTTATACTTTACTAAATACAATTTTCTGGGCATTCATAGTATTAGTACCAATGCTTTATTATTTAGTCAATCTTTTCTTGTCTGGTTCAACCGTTTACTTTTCCATTGGTGTGGGTATTATTTTCTTGTGTAAGTATCATTTTCTATTTAACAATTTACATTATCACTCCTCGCACCGTAATATTTAATCCCCCTTTAATTTCAGTTTACCTACTTATGCACAAAACGATAGGAATGTCTGAAATAAGCAAAAGCTCATCTTACGGTGCGGATGATAAAAAATTGAAGTAACAAAAGGAGGAGAAAATAACAAAAGGAATACATCGTGAAAAAAGTTGATATGTTTCTAGGGGCCATTTCTAAAAAGTATTATTCAATTTTTTTTTACGTATTGTATTCCACGTGATTTTCCCGGTACAAATCACATCACGCGCAATGTTTTTAATGACCTGCGAAAGTATTTAAGTTTTATCATTGTTGATTATTCCCTTTCATTTTGTTAAATCTATACAATGTACATTGTATCGTTGATACATGTTATAGTTCTATTATTTGTATTTGGATGTGGTTTCTTTTGTTCAAAAAGGTTTATTTGGGAATCTTTAGTTCTATATGTGTGTCACATTAATTATAAAAGTATTAAGCCGATTATTTCTACGCTTTTTGATAATTTCCTTCAATATTTCAGTAATTTTTACTTTTAAGAATTTTATAGAATCCTTTATTTGCTGTTAGAAAGGTTTCAGAAGTATGTACACTGCGAAACGATTTATAAATTATCAAATTATGATTTGTGTAAAAGATAAAGATTTAAAGATTACACAGAGAAGTAAATGAAAGTCCGAACTGAAAATTATTCGACGTAATCATTAAGAATACGGCCTGAAATACACGAGCATTTTACACACAGTATGCTATTGTTATTTGAATGCATTCGATGTTCCTTAATTATACTGCATTATACTGTTAGCACATTTTCCGCTGTGTAATATCGGCGCAGCTTGTTACATGTAATCAATCGCGCTGAAAATCAGAACGCATTCAAAGGGAAGGTGCAAGTCATTTTTTATTACGTCATATCGTTCCTCAGCATGCAGCATGTTGCACACTGCTTATTACCGTCTCATTCGTATAGACGATATAAAAATGTTGGTAATATTAAAACATTGTACGTCTAATAACATCAAGAAAAAAAATACTCGTGTTCTTCAGTCCCACGCGAATGACTTCATTTATATTTGACTCTACCTGATCTATTTATTTCAAGATTATTTATATTTTATAAAAAAATGTCAACACCTAAAATTGAATATTCATTATTCAAACAAGATCAATAAAAATTAATTAAGGTATGTATGTTACCTTAACTTTTTTAATTAAACTATTTTTGTAATCTGATGTATATGTTATGAGTGTGAATGTAATGCTTATACAGAAATACATATATTCCCTTGTACATACATGTGTATATGTACCAACAGAACCGTTTGTTTCTTACTATTGTATTCAGATGTACAATCAAACATGTCTGTACCTTTTGTTTTTATTATTCTTGTATAGCTGTTGTTATTGTTGAATAAATAATTTAATCCCAGTGTTTCTTTTCCCATTATATGTAATACATGAAATGTTTCTTGTATCAGATTCGACTTAAGCGTGCCCCGTTAATTTTTTAGTGTTCTCACGTTACTTTCGTGATGTCTTTCTGTGTATCCGTCGATAGGTCTAGCAACATATTGAACTGTTCTCAATTTGCCTGCTGCATCATAATATCCATATTGTCCTTTTACAGTACCATCAGAATGTCTCTCTTCTAATCTAAATTGTCTACTTCTCCTGAAAGTAGTTTATTACATATTCAACATATAACGAATGTTGAATGTTAATTAAAGTGATTTTTGTATTTACCCGCGTCCAGTGTCGAATCCAAAAATATAAGTTTGGGGCCCTTCATGACCCTCTATTTGAAATTGTACTCTATCCGTTTTTTTAAACTTGTCCCATGGCTTTGCGTATTCCTCAGTTTTATTCTCCAGATCGTCATCATTCAGTTTGTCTCTTTCTAGTCCATACGAGGACTTCTCTACTGTAGACTTCGAAGGTTTCTTAATAGTCAATGGTAATTGATCGTTGTCGAAAAATCGATGATTTTTGGGCCTTGAATCATCATTAGTTGTCAAAGCAAAAGCAGCATTTATTGAAAGCTATATAAAAGAAATGGAAATACCGAATTGATTAAAAACGTAGAATTTTATATTGATTTTGTAATCCGCACTGAATGCACATACATACATATATATATGTATGTGACCGCTTACTATTTTGGATCACAAATTCTTTGTTGATCAGTCACGCTTTCATCCATTCGCACGGTTCATTGCTTTTCAAGATTAAGAACGCAATTTACAAATCTGTTTTCACTTCTCCTATTTTAATGAATTATTATTTGCATACCAGAATAATAAATACATTCGCAGAACTGCATTTACAAATAGCGGCGATTGCAACGATAAAAATTGCAAGTCAGCTCAGAACATTTGGTTTTGATTAAGAAATTTTGAAACAGGACAAAAATATTCGTCTATAACGTCTATCGCACTAGAAATTAATTCAAAAATTCGATTTGGAAAGCTGTTTTATTTGTCACACACGCGTACACATTATAAACTCGAAAGACCCACGTTTATTTACAAAACCTTCTGAATCATTCAATAAAATAACTGTCGTCCAAGTATTCGAGTAATTTTTCAAGAAAATCTGTACTTACAAGAAATATGTAACGCATCCTGCGCTGTTGATATGCAAAAATGAAGAGCTCACGAATCTCCTCAAATCTATCGTTATGAATTTACTGTCGTATTTTTGCTTCATCCTATCTCTCGATCTACTTTCTTTCATATTTCCTCTCTCTCTCTCTCTCTCTCTCTCCGCAATTTCCCCTACCCTTTCCCTTTTTTTACAATAGATTAACGCGTTACTTATCGGCTACCAAAGGCTGCAAACAGCAACAGGACGCATTTCATCTGTCCTCTTGCTATGTACAAGTAATTTACTATGTTAAAAATTACTACGTACCACAGCGCATAACAACGTTGTGCATTTAATAAATTGAAAAAATAAGTAGTATATAATATTATCGAGTCCGTCATCCAGAACCCCGAAATATCTCTTTTCCTGTTTGAGAAAATTGGTTTGAGCGTCGACAATGATCAATTTTATGTTCTATTCAGTCAGGATTGTGCAATCGGCGACACGCAGAGAGCGCACAATTGAAATAATCGTAACCGGATGCGCCGTGCCACCGAAATGTCGCAAACATCCACTGAACTCGAATTCTTTTCAGATACACCGTAACAGATAATTAATGTCAAAATGTTTTTCCTGTTTGTTTGGCTTATAAACACGCCCGGGCACAGATTGGTTTTCATTAATCATCTACCGGTTGGTCGAAGACTAGAAAAACGTACTTGTATTTGCCATGAATCACCTCGTTCGGCTCTTTTTGTGTTGCGTTATTTTGTTCTTTCTTAACGCGGGAGCAGTAAGTTAATTTCATTGTTAATATTGCAAACTTCGCAAATTGTACGCTATCGACATTAAAACTCTCACTATTCCTACGACTACAGTTACCGCTGTTGTTAAAATTTATTTTTTTTAATCGATTACACAAAGGTTTCGTTAATATAGAAACTCGAAATAAAGTAACATAATTTTTGTAGTGCTTAAAATGCCGCACAAGAAGTCAAGAAGTAGACATGCAGTTTCAGAAAGTGTTTAAAACCTGTTTGAAACAGCACGGTGGCGTTGGTACAGGTAGTGATGATTCGATGTCATCGGATGATGAAACTTCGGATAGTGGAAATTTGGATAGCGAGAGTTCAGAAAGTGATTCTAGTTCTGAAAAGATATTTTACGATAAACACATTTTCTATAGTAATAGCGATCGCTCCTCTTATAATCAATCAATGAATAATCAAAGAAATAGGTATATGTCTGAATGATTTATATTAAATATAAATCATACATTATCTTAACTAATTGTTTTATGAACGCGAAGCTATTAAATAACCAATGAAAATTATAGAAGTTATCAAAATGCAAAAAATAATCACAATGATAATGGTGGAGACTCCTGGAATTCGAGGGACCCTCGGAATAAGAAAGGTGATTTTAATAATGGGGATTCACGTTATAACAATAACACAGATCACGAAAAAGCAGTAAGTATTTAATATAGAACTATATATAGAACAAACTAACTTTATTTAGTTAAATAAATTTTTTATATTTCAGTGTGTCATACAGTGCTTCTTCAACGAATTGAATGTCGTAAGTAAAAATTAAGAGAAGGGAAAACAAAAGTTACTTTAGATCACTTTGTTAAATAAACGAAAAATTGTATTCGTTTTATTTATTTTTTTAAATACTACAGGTAGATCAAAACGGTTTTCCGGACAGAGATTCAGTAATTCCATTAATGAATCAAGATATTCGAGATCCAGAGTTGAAAGATTTCGTTGAAGAATCGATCATAG